AAGTTTTAATAAAGAGTATTATTAAACCGCTAGGGTAGAACTTACTGTAGGACTACTGTAGGACTAATTTTTTACAGAGGGTAAACTAGTTTTCAACCAGTTCTGGACCAGACCTTTTAGGGACCGGACCGGGACCGAACCAGACACGCCACTTAACATCCCTAATTGATACCCTATTGGTCACGATTGGTAACTATTAACTCAATAGTTTCAATCAGTAAAGACCTTATTGACCTTATTGATACCCTATTGGTACCCTATTGGTACCCTATTGGTACCCTATTGAGTACTATTGCTCTAATAAATACCCTATTGACCTCCTTTGGAGCCAAAAATAGGCGGCAATAGGGAGGTTCCCTATTGAACCTCATTTTACCTGTGAAATAAAAATCGACAAATGAAATTAGCAGCTCAAGGGTCTAAAAAAATTGATTCATATTTTCATAATACTGTTCAAGAAACTGATAGTTCTAATATACAAGAAACTACTACTCATATATCTACAATTCAAGAAATTACTAATCAATTGATTACTGTTCAAGAAACTGCTACTTATTCAATCACTAATCAAGAGATAGATACTTTGATTCGTATATTTAATTATATTAAATATTTGGAATTTGCTAACACAATTATCCTTTAGAACTATAATTTATATAATTCTAAAGGGTAATTTTGTTAGCAAAGATCTAATTTGTTAGTTTTATTAAGTTGAATATATAATAATTTATAAAAAAATTTAATAAATTTACTAGAAGATTCTTTTGATGAAGAAGATTATCAATTTTCATTTGAAAATCTAGAGCATAATATAAAGCATAGTATTAATGATATAAGGTTACAATATGTTGCACAATATATGTGATTAGTTAGATCAGGCTTTTCAAAAATTGAATCAAGTTCTATTATTGCAACATTATTAAATCGTGGACCATGAACTGCACGTTTTATTAGATCTTGGGCTAACCAATATATGAAACTGGTGGTATTGTAACTTTATGACGTAGATGCCATCCAAAAATTTCTTCATTATTAAATGATGATATTAAAGATCATATCATATGCTATATATATTAATATAAATTTAAATTAGATATTGCAGAGTTCTGTAATTATATTCAAAATAAAATTTTTCTGAATGTAGGAATTGAAACTCAATATATAATTAGTGCTTCTACTGCAAGAAGATGGTTAAATGATTAGGATAGCAATAGAAAAAGTATCAAAAAGTGCTATATTTTGATGATCATGAAAGAGATGATGTGGTAGCATATTGAAATCAATTTCTTCAAAACTTAGCAAACTTAGAAAATTTTATGCCGCAGTGGTCAGATGATCTTACTACACAAATTGGACCAGTGTTAGCACCAAATAAAAGAGTACATATTTTTGTTATATAAGATGAATCAACATTTTTTGCAAATGATAAAAGAACCGAATTTTGGGGTCTGCAAAATGAACAACCACTTTATCCTAAACATTAGATGGCAGTTTAATAGTTAGTAAATATTTATATGATACAATTAGGCAATTACAATTAGACTCTACAAGAAAAGCACAAAATTCACTATTTTCTTTAGATCAACAAATACCAGAAAGTGCTTGTTCAATTATATATTCAGGAAATAATCGAGATGAATATTGGGGAATTAAGGAAGTTGCACATCAACTTAAAGAAAAGGCTATACCAATATTTAATGCTATACATCCGGGCTGTATTGCAGTTTTTACATTTGACAATAACACTAGTCATAGTGCATATGCCGAAGATGCTTTGATAGCTAAAAGAATAAATCTTTCTTCTGGTGGTAATCAACCTTGTATATGAAATACTTTTATGCGTGATGGGACAGCACAGTCAATGATATTTAGTAATGCAACACCAAAGGGCTTGCGAGAAGTTTTAAGTGAAAGAGGGTATAATGTACAAGGTCTTAGAAAAATTTGTAAAGAATGTATTACAGAAAGCTCTCAAAGAATGAATTGCTGTGCAGTAAGAATAATGTTATTAGAACCTAATTTTATAAACCAACAACCATTGCTTCAAGAAATTGTTGAAGAAGCAGAACATAAAATTATTTTCTACCCAAAATTTCATTGTGAGCTCAATTATATAGAGTATTATTGGGCACATGTAAAAAAATACACATATAAACACTGTAATTATTCTTTTAATGATTTGCAAAGAATGGCTCCAATTGCACTTGATTCAGTATTATTAATTCAAATTAGAAAATATGCTAGAAGAGCAAATCGTTATATGAGTGCTTATTATTTAGGTTTATCTGCAAAACAGGCAATATTTGCTGTAAAAAAATATAAATCACACAGAAGAATTCCTGAGGATGTTCTTTTAGAGTTAAATGAAGATTAATAATAAGAATATATAAAATATTACTTATTCTATATATGTGCTGAATTTTAAAGATGCTTAATAAAAAAGAATATTTTTAAATTTATATAACTTTAAAATTATAATATATTTAAAATATTTGATTTTATTAGTTTGTTATTTGAGTTAAAATCTTTAAAATAATAAAAAAAAAATTAAATTTTATATTTTAATTTTTTAGTTCTATCTTTTTAAAGTTTATATAATTTATTTGATGTGACTAAGTAATGCGCACCATAGTTACTATTTTCAAATTACTTAATAAAGATATAAGCAAGGCCTCACTTTAATACCAAAAAAAATTTAAAAAAAAAAAACAAATAAAAAAATAAAAAAATACAAAAAAATAAAAAAAATACAAAAAATAAAAAATAAAAAAATAAAAAAATACAAAAAATAACAAAAATACAAAAAATAAAAAAAAATACAAAAAATAAAATAAAATATATAGAATAAAAAGCACAAACACTTACTCTAAGTGACTAATAAGAATAATTTTAATTATAAGTGCAATTTTATTGACGTCAAATTATATTGATCATATTTCTCAATTCATAACGTTAGACATGACGCTATGTTTTTCACATCTTATAAAGTCAATAAGCTACTTCGTATTACTAGTCTATTTATTGGCAGTACGTATCTGTCTCTAGGATAATAAATAAGCCATGAATAAATTAGCGATATAAACTTCTGAAAATATCATAAAATACCAAGTTTAATAGATTATAAGTTATATTTATACTCGCTGGCCAAATTGAAACGTCAAAACATACCTCTCATCTAACTTCCGAATTGCTTCGCCGATTACAAAATTACTTAAACAGCAGAGACCGTTAATGTTACACATATATTAAAACTGGTGAGGGATTGCATCCATCACAATTGAATCCAATATAAAAATTTAATTTGTGATTGATCACAGGAGAGAGGGATTCACGCACTGTCTCTGCTGTTTATATTGTATGTATTTTCTCATAGAGTAATAATGCCGAATTGTATTCGTGGCACCGAATTATTCTTGTGACGGCAAGTCGTTAATAAAAATAAGACTTACGATAAGATGATCTGCCAAAATTAGCCCATCATAATAAAGCCCGCTATGCTGGTTTGACATATTTAAAGATAACTTTGCAAGAGTTGATTCATCAATCATATTAATAACATCGAGGTTGAAATAGGCAATATTATGTTATCATCAATATGAAGCATCAGCTATGTTAAGACAATTCTAAATTTAAATTTTGATTTTATGATTCCGAATTTAAATTTTGCTTTTATAATTCTAAATTGAACTATATATATGGTACGTATAATGCAAACTTGATACGTACGTATAATTATAAAGCTATAACGCGTATGGGCTAATTTGTTGCAATTGGGCCCCGTATAGAGTCACTAAATTTAGTTTAAACCCCTTATTTGATTTTTTT